ATAAATTATTATTTTAGATTATTAGCTTACTAAAAAAAATAAAGTATCTGCCTTAATGTAACTTAAGAATGTTTAGAAAAATGTAACATCAATAATAATATACATCATCAAAAGAGACAAATAATTATTTTTGTTTGTTTATTTGCTCAATTGCTTCACTGCTCAAAAACATTGAGTTTTATCTCTAGGCTGGCTGAAAAATATTATTCGACATTATCGAAAAAAAAATGTATACTTAGATAAAATAAAGCTAAAGGAACACATACACTGTAATTTATAGAAAAACATACACGGTGTTTTTATAAAATAAACAGACAAACACTTTTTCAAGTATCATAGTATTATCACTAATCTTGTGGTATTATGATTAAACTAATATAAATAAACACTTCTTCAGCAATCATAGTATTATCACTAAACTGTGGTATTATGATTAAACTAAACAATACATATAACACTTAACTAAAGGAACTCATACACCTTAATTTACCTGAAAACTATTCATTTTTACAAATCATGGTATTATCCATAGAGTTAAAAATCACTAAACTATAGTATTATAATTAAACTAAACAAACAATTTTAAGTACATCTACCGAATAAAAAAAAAGGCAAGTTATATTTTAGTACTCTGGTAATCTCATTGATGATCTTTATTTCAAAAGAGTAAAACACTAAAAAAAAAAATTGTTGAGACATTCACATGTTATATTTGTTAAAAAAAAAAAGGATAAAAAAAAATTTGTCTTGGACTAGTTACTGCTGCTGTTTAATCATGTTACAGAATATGCGGATATGTCCTCTCTAGTGGTTTGGATGCGGATGACTTTCGTAGGAATGCAGTGTTCGAACCGGATCACACTGCCACCTTCGGCGCGCCCTCAGTATCCAACGATACGAAGAACATCCACCGATGCTCTGTTGTGCATCAACCAGCAGACCTGAATCAGCAACGTTATTCATTTTTGAAGCTACAGTTCGAGGGTCGCAGGGCGGGGCCTCGTATGATTTTTTTAATAAAATTTTATTATTATTTAAAAAAAAATGCAATATCTTCACAAAAATAATTCAAAATATTTTATTGGGTAATAAAGCATTGATATTTCGGTTCTATAAAATAATAATTAATTAGAAAAAAAATAAAAATAAATAATAACCATTTAATGTAAAATTAGGCATGTTGGACATCCTGGAAAGTTGTATCAAAAATGAAACGAGGTACTGCATTGAGACACTCGAGTTGTTGGTTCCACGAGCTCGGACATGGTACCAACATCGACGTCTTCTGTTGGCGCTGAGGAATATTCTAGGGAATGATAGTTTAGGGGCGGATGGGCAATTTATATGCATATGCATGTGGGCTCTCTACAGCATTGATAGTCGTTTGTCATTATTAGGTAGCCATATTCTTCTATTTTGACATGATCATTCTTTAATATTTTTTTTCTAATGATAGCATCTTGTCGAAGGATATCTTTGTTCTACAATTTTCTGTCCCCTCTTGCATTATGTCACAAGTCTTTCGATTGATATTCTTTTCATATGGCCGAAACATACTAATTGTTTTGCTTCTGGTTTATCAGCGATACTTATCTGTACACCTATAGTTTGGTTTGGTTCGATCTGTGCTAAATATCGTCATTAAAGGTTAATTGACGTTCTTTTCATATGGGCCGTGATCATCTAGTGGAGGGAATTTATTTGTACTTTAGGTATTTCTATTCTTTATAAGATGCATATATCTGAGTCGTATGCCACGAAACTCTCAACTAGTGTTAATGTAGGTGTACCTTTATTGGTGATTTCTTATGTATTTGTATGGATTCAATAAACTCTATATTTTCTTTGTAATTTTGTTTGCTGCATTGATATAATTCATATAGTCTAATTCTATTATCCAAGGGCTGCGTCCTATAGGTAATTTGTTTACTGGTAAACTGTCGTATGCCGTTTTATACAAAAGATCAAGACAAGGCTTTCCTGGCTTAAATCCACTTTGTTCTTTCCACTTTTCAAACTGTACTTCAGTTTTATATCTCAACTTCAGTTGTGGGAGGCTGTGTGTATGTGTATATAAAATCATAACCGTCATAAGTAAACGTAAACTAACTTATTGAATGTCAAAGTCACCTTTTATTTAAAAACTACTTTTAGAAACTAGTTACATTTAACTATTACTTATTTAAATTAAAACTAAAAAAATAAATAAATAAAATGACATCTGTTTTAAAACTAAAATGTGAATGTTCAAATAGAATCTATACTTAAAAAAATGCTAAATAGTCAAATTTCATTTTATGCTAGTCATATATTAAATTAGTCAAATATATATTAGTCAAATATTCAATTATTTATTCTATACAATTATTTAATCATTTTTAATTATTTAACTACACAATTATTTTTTTATTTTTACATTGTATTTTTCTATCTGTTTGGACTTGATGTTTGACAATTTGTATTTGGTTGTATGTATACTTTAGTATTGTTGATATTGTCAATGGTCAATAGTATCCTTTGTTGTCATCCGAAATATTTATATATTGACTATCCAGCACTTATACACACATAATATAATAACTCATGTATAATTGGGATGTTGAAAGACTTTCTCTCTCCCTGGCATTAGTCTTTCGAAAATCTTCCAAAGGGGCGTCTGAGATGAACCGCCTATTTAAAAATAGACATATTTATTTAAATTCAAAACATTCATTTTTAAGACACTCTGTATACATAAACAAAATTATTGATTTTTAAAATATTATTCACAAACTAGGGAGAGGGAAATCAGGCGACGAACAGAGGTGATAGTTGTTAGATAATAGCTTATAGACTACCGTTCGAGACGCATTGATATTATTTTGGTTCGTAAGTTTTGTGACAAAGAATGTTATTAAAGGTAAAGTAAATGTTTTCTCATTATTTAACTAATGTTAACTAACTCATATTATTTTGTTTTTTTGTTGTAATTTTCTTCTAAAGTTATTCCTCATTCATTTGATCTGACATAGACAATATATAACATGTGTATGCATTTAATGGAATCTATTTATGCTGTAAATAATTTCAGTTTAAAAGTAATCTAAATAAAATCGTTACTGTTCCTTCGTGCCGATGTTTGTGGTTTGTGAGAATAAGAGCCTTGTTGAGTATACTAACAATTTTCGACCTTGCATGGGTGAATATCTTAGCTCGGAAAAGGGCGAACAAAAACAATAAATAAAATAATTCATAGAATAACTTACAATTTATTAAATTATAAGATATTGGCGCCAAACCTTCAACTTTAGCGTCGATTCCGCAACAAGGGACTTCGTACCTACGGGTGGGGACCCGTTAAACTAACAAAAAACTCTTCAGTTTTGAACGATATAAATGTGGCATGTTTTGAATGTATTAAACTATAAACCCAGGTATGAAGACAGTTTCTATATTATTATTTCTCTATTATTTAAGTTCAGAACAGCATAGTTAGATTCTCTGGAATAGTGATCATGGTTTTCTCTGCCGTGCTCTTTTACATGTGAATTCCAGGCAGAGTACGGCACTCCTTTCATTTCATTTAATAAAATAAGTAGGGCTATTTACAAATTTAGCGTTTTATTTACATAACCTATTCTCCTCAAATTTCCCAAAATATTGCTTTGTCGAGGCGCATCCGAGGTAATCATAATAAAAAAATATTTAACACAACGTAGGTTCCTTTCTTTCATTTAAATTTCTTGTTATACAGTTGGCCAAAATATTACCTCTTCAACTTTGTTGACGAATTTGGGTTGTTACACTACAATATTCTTATGTTTTATTAAAGTTACTCTGATATACTAATATATCAGTGTAACTTTAAAACTAAATCCTTTAAAATCAAATATAAACATAAAAAATATTTACAGCAGAAAAGGCGAAGGCGCTGGGTTAAACGTAGTTTCTACTAAGAACACGGAGGGGCGCTTAGACCCAAAATTTTACTATTAAGTTTCATATCTACCTTAATAAAAGATTATTTTCTTTTATCTATGTTTATAACTGACACTCAGAGACGCTTTTGTTGGGATTTTACGGTTTGATTTCGTTTTGATTTGTGTAATTATTGTAAAATTAAATTACTTCAGATTTTTTGGCAATGGATTCTGTTTTAGACAATGTTTTTTAAAAATGGTGGGACAATTTGTGTTTTGTATAGACTCTTAGTTATTTTTTATCATGGAGTTTAATTGTTGTACACCGGGTTTCCGAAGGATATAAAGGTAAGTAAATTAAATATATCTACTTACAGTTATAGATTTTTTAAATTAGTACTGCTAATAAATGCTAATTGCTGAGCAGTTATTTAATTTTTTTACGGTGGAAAGAATTTAGTGGAAATTTATGTAAGGAATTAAGGACGAGCGTTGCGTTATATTAGCATGATCAGCAGATGATTAAATCTAATTTAATTTGTTTTTATTATTTCAGGTCTCAAACGGAAACAAACTGGGAATCTTGCCTACACCAAAATTATATAGCCGTTTCCAATTCACTTCAAAGGAAGGAAAATTATGTAAAACTGTCTGCTATTTGGTGAAAACCGCCAAAGATTAAATTATATGTAACTGTAACAACTTAATATGTACTATTACTAGTCTTTTTAATATTTTTTAAATTAATATCCGACATATAAGAACACTTTGTATGCTTTTAATTAAGTTGATTTATCGTTTATGTTCGACCTAATTAAAAGCACACAAAGTGTTCTTACATGTATGTCTAATTTTTTTTTAAATTAACTAAAACAACCCCCCTTCCTCGCATCCCTCTCATCTTCTAGTGTTTCTTCCTCCGACTACCAGGGGCGCCTTTGTATAATAAAATTGAAATGTATTATAAGTTGCCTATCTATTTAATATTATAAGTCTTTTATCTATGAACTGGGCCCAAGAATCACCTCATTAAATATTAGCATATCATTAAGAAACACCCCGTATGTGGCATTTGAATATGTAGTAAAATATAGTACTTACTTGAGTTTTGATGTAATATTTCAGATCGTTTGGGGGCAGGTTAGGAAGATTTCCTAAGTGAAGTGTAGCAAGAAGTCCATTTTGGCCTAAAACAAAATAATATTATTATACAGCAACTTGCACAGACAACATTTTTTTGAGGTTATCCCTCAATAAAATAATATAAATAATAGATAAGATTATTTATAACGTGTTAAATATAAATAGATAAGCTTTGCAAATTTCGGCATTTTAGCAATCTTGATTGAAAGATTATCTTCATAGAAAGAGTAAGATCCCAGAGCGACCTGACATAACTTATTTTTACAAGGTTGAAACCTTAGGCTCACAGTAGTGCTCTCATGTGGTTTGAATACCGGCGTGTTTGGGGAGTTCGCCCTGTGATACCTTGGCAGATACAGGGTGAGAAAGGTAACTAAAATTAAGAATTACTTAACTTAAATTTGTATGGCAGATTTTTTGTATAAATATTGTAGAATGTTACTCTAAAGTAGTATCAAAAGTATAAGACACTTTCCATGGATCTGAACTTTTATCAGACGATAGCAAATAAACAAGTGGATCTTTGGTAAAGATAGATTTTATTAAAGACTATAATAGCTGGTAAAAATCAGACATGTAAAAATAAGTAAAGTTCTTTATTTTTTGAGCGGAACTTTGATAAAGTCTATCTTTATCAAAAATCCACTTTTTGATTTGCTGTCGCCTGATGAAAGGTCAGGTCCATGGAAAGTGTCTGATACTTTTGATTCTACTTAAGAGTAATATTTTACAATATTTATACAAAAATCAGAAATACAAATTTAAGTTAAGTAACTCTTATTTTTAGTTATCTTTCTTATCCGGTAACTGCCAAGGCGTCACAGGGCGAACTCCCCAAACACGCCGGTATTCAAATCACATGAGAGCACCACTGAGAGCCTAAAGTTTCATTCTTGTAAAAATAAGTCAGATCGCTCAGGGATCTTGGACTAAGACTAATGTCATGTACTAGAATTATCGTCCAACTGTGCTTCAAATGACAAATGCTACATTTTTAAGTAACGGACTTAATACTTACCAAATACGTCGCTTTTTCCTGTCAAACATTTGCAGGGATTTCCAATTTGTCCGTCATAGCTGCAGTTGGTCGGGCAATCCGGACAATCTGCAAAAAGTAATCGTTTTTTAGTTTTTTCTCTCTCTATCAAATCCAACTGAAACGTTCAAATAAATCCATCATCCGCCGTAAAACCCTTTAATTTACTAAATGCCTAGTCGGAAATTTTTCTTTCTTCTAATAAAACGACGTTTCGACGGTCGAATGCATCCCCCGCCAAACGAGTTACTGGCACTCAGTGGCGTGTATAGTGATCTCAAAATACCGGTAATATTACGGTAACAGCCGTAATTTATAAAAATCATCTTTTTAAATAATATTATGTTTTTTTTTAATTTCAAAACTGTAAGAATAATACTAAACGACAAGAATTTTAAATTGGTCAGGGTCAGGGTAACCTATGTTAGTACGTAATAGAGTGGATAATTGTAAATCATCCTCAATCTCGCCATCTGGTTCTTCTTTCTCTTTTGTTAATTGAGTCAAGTCTATTACTCTTACTTATGCTTATATATCTATTGTGTCCCTAGTTCATGGGTTATAACTCATGATACAATCTAAGGGCTTTGGCAAAAGCTAGTATCTAAGACGGTTTTACAGAGGTAAGTACAGTATGTCTGTCCGTTCTGTAGCTACGGGGTATCCGTGAGAGGGGAAACGATATGCTCTCGATGTTTTTCGTAAAAAATTAGACGACGCGTCCCATCAATAAAAATAAAAATTCGACAAATTAGCCAACAAAATGAGTGGGCGGAGCGATTTGCGGTGACGTACTCGTCAAGTCGACGTATAAAATATATTGCTGTTTATTTAAATGTTTTTTGTCCGCATTCCTTTCATAGACACAGATCCAGCAAACGAACTGTAGTGATGGGAATACCGGTTCCACATTAGTCGCGTTACAATAGCAACCGTTCCAGAGAAACACCGCGACAAAATACCGCGATTTTGTAACCGAGCCTCCGGCTTCCAAAGTGTCGCTATTTTATTAATTCCTGCTTATGCATTATTTCTGGTCACTGTATACCTAGTATTTCCGAAGTCAGTTGGAAGTACTGAGGCTCTTTGTCCAGCCGACACCGACAAAAACAGTGCCGAAATTAAAAGTCCCAATCTATTATAACTGACTTCAGAAGAACTACCTATTCCTCTCCCTGCCGTTATCTCTGTATCCGTGCAAATTCATAAACAATAACAATTCATAAACCCCCCAAATTTGTAAACAATAAACAACATGCAGATGGCTAGAAGAATTTAGTTATGTTAGCTTTTAATTTTGAAAATAAAACTATTAAATAAAAAATATAAAATAATATAATTTATTGGTATTCAATACTTTTTATTCGCCATCTTTTCTTCATACTGAAGAATAGCTTTTTATAAGTTGTATATTTTTCCAATAATATTTAGATTTATATTCTTCTGATACACGTCAAGAATCAAGAATACACGTCAATACACATCAAAAAAAAAATCGTGTCGACGACAATGTTTACAAACGATCTCCACCGAATCAACTCCTATCAGAAACTTTATCGGGTATATTTTGCCATTTGTACTCTAAACTTGTATCGTCAAGAGATAACTTTGCTAAAAATAAATTTGGTATGGAGTGGAGCAATGATAAAACAAGAAATGTGATTGAAAAGTATCAAGCCCACCCCGAAATTTGGGACACTAAGACTAAGCATACTTGGTATAAGAACAGAAATATAAAGTATGATGCCTGGAATGTTATTGCAACTAGTTTAGAGTCATCTATACAAAGATCAGTGAGCACTACCACTATATAATACTATACTATAAATGAGTCACTACCACTATATAAATTTCTCTTCCGGAGGTTAGGACGTATCCAAAAACGACGTTGCCGTCTGGCTTGACGACGCTCATTTCGCGAAATAATAAGGAATGCGGCTGAGATTATAATTATATCCTCGTCGTTCCACATGTTGATAAACACTAAATAAACTTTTGCTCTTTAGTCGAAAAATTAAGTCGAGCAACAATATTTCTTTGGTAGGTACGATTTACATTTCTCGACAATATTTATAAAAATAGTAACAAAAGTTGATGACAATGTCGTCGACATATGTTGCTTTGGTGGAGACCCGGGTTTCTTTTTCTTTATTTTTCTTTGCAGATTACGTAACTCTAATTCTCGATTATATTTATAAAATAGTAACAAAGTTGATGACAATGTCGTCGACATATGTTGCTTTTTTCGGTCATATTTGTAACTATCTAATGTATCGGTGTTTATTTATTGTAACTATCTAATATACCTAACATGTATTTATTATCAATCAAAAACAACGACCGATCAAAGCGCGACGTGCTTAACAGTTCCAGCTACTATTCGTAGTCGCGACCGACGAAAACTCGATCCTACGAGCGCTCCAGCAGTCGCGCGACCACCGGCACTGGAGCAAAATATGTCGCGGTATTAGGTCGTTACCACTTACATCTCTTCGCGACAGACGAAGCGGTCGAGATCGCGCGACGCTACGTACTTACCAGTTCCAGTTACTACCGTTCGCGACCGACGAAATCGCAACCCTAGTAGCGCGACGGCTGGAGCGAAATTCGGCGCTATGCGGTTACTGCGGTTCGAGCTAACTCCAAGAGCGATTATAAATAATTTATTTGCAAATTATAAATAATTTATACTTATTATGATCGTCGTTCTTCAGTAACAGATTCCTGATTCGTTGCGCGTTACTCAAATACCGACACATCACTAGAGGTTAGTTCTCTTTTATTTATGGCATGAATGGTTGTCGTCTCGGCGCACTCAGTGCTGGTGTTTACCCACTTTCCTCATAGAATCTGCATTCACAGTAGTTTTTTAGCTAACTGAGATGTTCATTGAGGAAACAGCGTCCTGTTAAAAACCCCGTGACAATTTGAATATTGTTCTTACTAAAATCAACGAAAATATTTGATTTTTTTCGGTTGCAAGTTCTAAGAAATTTCTTCTAGTGTCTTAGACCGTTGAAGGACTCCCATCACAGGTTGCAGATGGAGTCTTCCAGGTTCTTGAGTTCCGCTTTAAGTTGGTTTTCACTTGAGAAGCAGAACGGTTCTAGTCCAGTTAGTGTAGTGTTCGCTCCCTTTCTAGCTAGATCGTTTGCTTTTTCATTACCTTCTATCCCTTTATTTTCTTTGCCTCATTTTTTGAGATTAAGTTAACGAAGAGTCGTTTTTGGAATAAATAGAATTATTAATGAAAGAATGATCAAATTTAAATTATTTTTGTAAGAAAAAGCAATAAATTTAGATGTTCACGTGCACATGTGCAGTTTACTTATTGAGGACACGCCACTGGTTACTGTCTGCCGCCAAATTTCATCTTTACTCTCGGAATTAACGGTATTAATTAGACAGGGAAAAACTTTTCTGAAAACTCTTCATCTCTTTCCACGACGACGTTTCTTTTCCGTATTTTCTTCTATTTCCCCTTCTTCTATTACTTAACCGAGCAAATTATAAAGCAGCTTAATTTTCTTAGGCTGCTCGGTGGAAACTTGGCTATAGAAAAGGAATTAATTAAAAAAAGAACGACGCCAAGGTTGTAAAAGAATTTCTAGAAATGGATTTTGAGGAGAATGTTTTAATGTCTTTTATGAAAAATTATGGGGAGGTTGTAGGGATGTGTGAATATATTTGCAGATGGTTAAAGGGGGCTCTTTTATTTTGTAGTAAGTAAAGGCTTTTTAGATAGATAGAAAATTAAAATAATTAAAAAAAATTTGGACATTTTTTTAGTGTAAGTTAAAAAACATAATATCTTGATAATATGGCAACATAGGTAGTAGCAAGAAAAATCCAGAAAAGATCCAGTGGTTCTCAAAATTTAAACGAAAAAGCATTTTTTGTTTAATTTTTCAAAGTAAAATAACTCGGTTTTTTGGGCTTACTTGAAAAACGGTAAAGAAAAAAAAAATCTTTTAACCAGATCTACCACCCCTTAAAATACTTGCACTTATTTCTGGAACACCCTGTATAGAAACGGCAGCGAGTCCACATCATTGCCTGGAAGCTTATATGGTGAAATTTGGATAAAATAATTTAGTACACACTAAAAACACGGTATGTCGCTAGTGGTAGGAAAAATAATTTTTAGAGGTTACTAGTTTATTTGGTTGCTTGTGATATGCATATACAGGGTGTTTCCTAATTAATCTAAAAAATAAAAAATCGTTAGAAAACGAATTAAGGCGGGCTCTTAATTGATGATCAAGAAAAACTCAAAAGATCAATTTTGTTGAAAAAGGATGGCCAGTCAAGAAAAAAATATATTTTCTTTAAAAAAGCAGTGGTGTACCATTTATGTTAAGCAAAAAAATCGATTTTTTTTAAATTTTTAACACCCTGTAGATCAGAAAGGAAGTACTTTAGACCTAATGATTATATAAAAATTGTTTTAAGAACACATGAGGAATCACACCATAATTTTTTTAGACTAATTCGAAAACACCCTGTATATTGTCAGCTTGACAATGACTGGTGATAAATCAAAAAATACCTTTTCAGTGAAAAAAACCTGATTTTCGCAGGAAAAATTTTGATTTTTATTGAATTTGGGCCTGCGTTTGCAAATACTCGTTTGTTTTTTAATTTTCTATCTATCTAAATTTTAATTTTTTTTAAGGTATTTTAGTTAATTTCAACAAATTCCGACCGCAGCGCTTCAACGACAGAAATCAGAATTATCAGTATGTATTTCACGCTGCCCTAATGTCGATCGCTTTAAAATAATATATAAATCGTGGCTTTGTCATAATATTTAAGTATTTTAGTTTTTTGCTAGAGCAGTTATTGAAATTATAAAACACTCAGGTACGAAGTTTATGTGATTTAACGCTGTTTCGGGTAGTATTTCAAATGTTAATAAAATTGCCATTTATGGACAATTTGAAATGTTAATAAAATTGCCAAAAAATGTTAACGCGTAAAGGAGAGCGTTTAGGGCATTGTTGGATGCAATAACATTCAATAACTTAACTTTCCCGGATATTCAATTCTCCTGAAACAACATTTTACAG